AGGGAGTCAGTAGGCAGAGGTAGTCTTCAGGATTCGGCCGCAGCACTCAGGAGGAGCGCTGCAGTAGTCTTCAGCGCTAGGCAGTAGTGGTAGCGCTAGCTGTAGTCTTCGGCGCTGGGCGCCATAGCTGTAGCTGTAGTCTTCAGCGCTGGGCACTGGTAGGTAGTAGATCGCAGAGTGGGAGAGAGACTGGCGGAGGGCAGTGTTACTTACCTATGGCGCCATCGCTCCAGCTCCATCTTCGCGGTACCTGCATCAAGGCGCCAACTTCACAGGTTAGTACTGGACACAGAGAGAGAGAGAGTTCTTCTTCTTCCTCTTCTTAGTCCACCTTCTCTTCTCACCCTCTCGCAACGATGATGATGATGTATGTTCAGGGCTGCATTACAACATTGATTGTTCGGATCACTGGTATCTAAGTCTTCCGCTGTGCTATCTTATACTTTGTATTGAAAGGTCGGTTCTTGTTCTGGTCTGCACCTATACGGTATGCAACATCAGACTTCTTCTTCTCTTCTTCTCTTCTTCTTCTTCTTCTTCTTCTTCTTCTTCTTCTTCTTCAGATTGGAGACTTGTACTAGTTGGACAGAGATCAGAGTTGGACTTCGGTGGTAAGAGGCTGTGGTACTTACCGGATTCGAAACTTGGAGATTGTTGGGGATGATACTCGGCTGCATCACAAATTTGACACCAATTACATTAGGACTCGGTATCTCCGACATTGGTGACTTATTGTCCTCGACATTTTGATTTCGATGACATTTTGGGTTACTATGTCGGTGACCTACTGTTTTCTATCTCGGTGACATTTGGTGCTACCTACATCTCCCCTCCTCTTCGTCTCTCCTCCCACCTCTCATCTGTGTATGTGTGTACAAGGTCTGGGCATCGTCTATGCTTGGCCCAGACCCCACCATCTCACGATTGTATGTGTGTGGAGTGATATCTATGTGAGTCAGTCTATGTGAGTCAGTCCGTTTATCAGACTTCCGCTGCATATATGCTCATCCTACATTGGTTGATCTTTGGTTCTGCCCATACTCATTGAAGTATGTAACACAGGTACTTATACCGGCTCCCCGTACGGTACGGGGACCAGTCTCGTACCAATTTTCTGCTGTTGTACTCGTACACAGTGTGACTTGCTGTTTCGACATTCGGAATCCAAGACTTCAACTTTGTGCCTTGCCACTGTGTCTGCGTCCGACCCTCAGTCCGAGTCMGTCGTGTCGAGTGAGTGAGTGTGTGTGTGTGCTCTCACTCTCTCCCTCTCTCTCTCCTCTCCCTCGGCTCACCCTCAGCCTCATGCCCATCACCCTGGTATCGGAGCGGTTCGAACCCGGCCGACCCACCCTGCTTCGTCGCCATCGTCGAGTGCCACATCATCATCGTCATCGTCGAGATCGTCGTCGCCACGTCATCATCGTCATCATCGAGGCCATTGCCATCGTGCCACGTTGCCATCGCAGTGCCCGTCGTCCTCGTCGCCCCGCCGTGCCATCCTCGTCATCGTCGTTGCTACCTCCTCGCAGATAAGTAATCGACGACAATTTTTCTTCTTATTTTTTTTTATACTCTTTTCTCCTTCTTCTTCTTCTTCTTTCTCTTCGTTCGTTTCTTCTTCCTATCTTCTTCCTCTTCTCCTTCTTCTTCTTCTTCGTCGTGACTCCGATCCCGCTCCCGCGCAACCTCCCCTCCCCAATTTTTTATCTTCCCCACCCCGGTGCATCTTCCCCCCTGACACCCGACTTCCCCCCGCGCTATCCCCGCGCGCAACCCCGACTCTCCGCGCCCCCACCCCAACCCGAATCAGGACCTCCCCCTTCTCCCGATCCCGGCCCCACTCCCTCTTCCCCCCACTCCCCCCGTCGCGCACCCGATCCAAGCCCCCCCCGGCCCAATCCTGCTTCCCACCCGACTCCCCCTTTCCTCCCTCCGCGCGTATTCACGCCCCCCGCTGCGCCCCTCTAGTTATCCAAGCCCTATCATCTAGCTAATATATCTCCTTTCAAAATACTTTTGTATCAATCTACCTTTAAAAACGATTAGTCCCTTGTCGAAATTTCTTTTTGAAATACGTTGGAAATAAGTAGTAAATTTTTTAAATATTCTCAAAATACTTCCTCTCTGAAAATTCTTTACAATTTAAAGCTTCCCTTTTCCGAAATTTCACGATCGATTTTTTTTTTTTTTAATTATTTATTTTTGAAATTACGTTTGTACTATTTTCGAAAATACGTCCCAAATAATTCGTTAGTTCCACAAAATCTTTTCGAAATACTTTAGAATTAAATCACCCTTTTCACAAATTTCTTTGAAAATCTTTTCCGTTTGAAATTTTCCTTTTGAACTTCCCTTTTGCATTAACTAATTTGTTCTTTCTCAAAATTTGAATTTAAAAATACTTTTGAACTCATTACTTCTTTGCAAAATTTCTTTGAAATATATTGAAATTACATAATTCTTTTTCTTCGAACTTTATTGAATACTTTAGCATTAATTCATCTCTTTTTGGAATACCCTTAATTTCTTTCCAAATTCCTTGGAATCCTTTTGCAACTCATAATTAGCCCTTTTCCGAAATTTTGAATTCACATTTTGAACTTTGAAATTAATTACTTATTTTTACAAAATTGTCTCAAATTTTCTTTTCTCTGCCGACATTTCTTTAAATTCAGGTTCGGCATTAATCCCTTCCTTCCGAATTAATTATTATTTTTCCAAAATTTGAACGAAAAATTTTTAAATTCCACCTCCTAATTCTTTTTCTATAATTCGAAGATATTCCAGAAAATTCACGTAAAAATTTGAAATAAATTCAAATTTATTGTTATTATTATTATTATTACCAATATTTTGAACAACGAACTTTGTAAATCTCTCCTTTGGATCCTTCAAAATTTTGTTCTACCCAAATTAATTTCGAACAAATAAAATTCCAATCGGAATAAATTTATTTATTCAATATTAATTCCCTACTTTCCAAAAAAAAAATTGGCGACTATCTTTATTTTTGAATTTATTGATAAATAAATAAGGGATTGCCCCCCCCACACCAAGAACTCCCAACGTGCCGCCGCCGCTGCCGCCGCCACCGCTGCTGCTGCATCCTCCACACCCGTTCAGGCCACGTCCTCCACCCCCTCTTCCCCACACATGGCTGCATCCTCCATCAACATGTCTGACATCCGCACCGACTCAGTCGATAGCATCGCCCGCAACCTCGCAGGCAAACAACCACCAGCAAACACCACCACCCCTGACCTCTCCGCCATCCTCCACGCACACGACACCCTCCGAACCTCCGTCACCGCGTCCCTCGACAACATAAAGGCCAACATGTCGTCCATAGGTGACCGCGTCACCACCGCGCAAACCACTCCCTCCTCCACAGCGCAAACCACTCCATCCTCCACAGTGCAAACCACTCCCTCCTCCATAGCCGCCTCCATCAACACCCCCCCTCCGACCTCCTCCACTCCTACCACCTCTACCACCACATCCACCAACCCTTCAACCTCCACCACTGTTCCGCTCCCTCCACCTCCTCCCTCATCCTGCGCGTCCAGCACACCGCCTCATTCCTCGCCCATCCACGTCACCCCTCTTCCCCCCGCGCACTCCCAAAACCTCTCCCAACCCATCATGACCACCTCCACCATCCCCACCATCCGTCCCACCTATTCCCAAGTCACCTCCGGGGTTTACCCCCAATGCCACAACTCCCCCCCAACTACCTCCTTGAGGACAACAACCAAATCGACCACACCTGCTATGACACCACCCCCGATAACCTCAGCTTCAACACCCTCGCGCAGATCGTTCACCGCGAYGGGGAAATCCCCCGTTCCTTGCGATCTGGCGAAATTATGTCCTTCTCCGGCCTCCCCCATGAGGATGTTTTCCTCTTCCTAACCCAGCTTCAAAACTCTTTTCACCTCCACCACATGCCCCTTGCCCACTGGCTCCCCATTGCCACCTCCCGCCTCCTCGACAATGCAGCCAAATGGTGGATGGCTGAAGTTAGCAACCGTCGAGCCTCCGGAGGACCACGTCACACCTTCCTCCAATGGGCCAACCTTCCCACTGCCACCTTCCGCCCCCAGAAAACCATTGACGACTACCTTGAACAATTCTGCCACCTCCGCCAGACCGGTCCCACGGACGGCTTCGTCCAATACGTTCGCTCCCTCCGCCACCACCTCCCCCACACCGTCATTCCCGACTTTGCGTTCATCTCCCGCATCAAACGAGTATGCCACAAAGACCTTGCAACCGCCCTCGCCCACGAACCCGACATGCCCCTTGCTGACCTCCTCTCTCGCATGCTTCATCACGATCGACTCCTCCACCCCCAACACCAGGCCCCCCCCGGCACCTCCCGCACCCGCTTTTTCCACCACATCAACCCCGAAGACACCACCTCCATCACTTCCTCAGACGAGTTCACCACATCTGACCCCGACGCATCTTTCGATTCACTCGACTCTTCATCCCTCACTTCCGAGGAACTCGATGTCGTCCAATTCATGAGAATGGAGCGTAGAGATCG